CGCTGTGTGGTAGAGGATATGCCTTGAGGGGGCACACATTGTTTATTGCTGTGTCCCCACCTATCTGGGGCTCATGCTATTCATGAGGGCCATGCTGCCTATATGGGGTTGACACCACTTGTAAAGGTTGCACTGTTTGCATGGGGCTCATATGATTGATGAGGGTTACCCTGTCTGTATGAGCTTCCTAGGATCACCCTGTTTTTGAGCACTGTCTATATGGGATTTATACTGTCCATATGAGAGTAACACTGTATGTGAGTTTTTACTGTGGGGTGATAACAGCTGTGCGTGTACTCAGTTCACACTGGCAAATACGTATCACCAGCCTGTTGTTTGGCAGACCCGGACCTAGGCACCAGTGGTAAAGCAGCAAAGAAAACAGACCAAAACCCTGTCTTTGTGGAGCTGACATTCAGTAGGACAAGCAAACCCTTCAAGGGTTTTTCCTGTTTATGTGATTCACATCAGGGGCCAGACGTTTTTAGGGGGTTGTGCTGGCATCCATTGACCATGAGGGTGTCTCTGTGTCTGGGGTTACATTTATTGGTATCACATTGGGGAAAGGGAGTTCACTGTTTAAAGATGAGCTTATTGCCTTATAGATTGTCAGGCACTGTGCCAGACTTGGAGGATGCTGCAGGCAACAAAACAGGCAAAAAAAAATCCCTGCCCTCTTAGAGCTGACACTGAAGAGGAGGCAATCAGACAACAAGCAAATACATTGTGGAGATATATGTCAGATGAGGGTAAGGGCTACGAAGAAAAATAATGCACGAAAGGGACTTGGGAATCAGGCAAGATCTTACTGGGAAAGGTGTTTTTTTGTTTTGTTTTGTTTTTTAAAGATATTTTTATTGATTTCAGAGAGAAGAAGAGAGAGATAGAAACATCAATGATGAGTCATTGATTGGCTGCCTCCTGTAGGCCCCCAACTGGGGATCTAGCCTGAAACTCGGGAATGTGCTCTGACCAGGAATTGAACCCCAATCTCCTGGATTCTAGGCCCATGCTCAACCGCTGAGCCACACCCGGCCGGGTGGGAAGGTGGTTTTTGAGTGAAAACCTGAAGGAGATTAGGGACAAAGCTATGCAGACTTCTGGGGGAAAAGCCTTCCAGGCAGATGGAGCATCAGCAAAATCCCTGAGGCAGGAATATGTCTGGCATATTCAAGAACTAGCCAAGAGGATGGAGATGAAGGGAAATGTGAGGTGAGGAGTTCGCTTTTACTCTCAGTGGGCAGAAAGGTCGCTGGAGGGTTTGGGGCAGCAAAAGGACATTATTAAATTTACTAGAACCCCACTGGCTGTGGGTAGAGCACAGGCTACAGGGGCCCGTGGAAGCAGGAAGACCAGTGAGAAGACCCCAGCCCAGGGGTGTGGTGGTGACGGTGGAGAGTAGCTGATTCTGAAATAGCTGAAGTCAGCCGATGGGACCTCCCTACAGATGGTGGATGAGAGAAAGGAGTCGTGGGTGACTAAGGTATTCAACTTGAGCAACCAGCAAAATGGAGTTGCAGTTCCTATTTGGGAAGCTCAGGAAGACCATCTTGACTTGGAAAACTTGAGAAATCCCAATGGAGACCCTGGTAAAGCACTTCGATATGTGAGATTGGAGTTCAGGGGAGAGTCCTGAGCAGGGATAGAAACATGGGTGTAATCAGCATAGAGATGGTACATAAAGAGAAAAGAAGACCTGGGACTGAGCCCTGGGGCCCTTCAGCATTACAAGTCAGGGAGATGAGGAAGGATGAGACCATCATGGGGTTACACTTTCCATTTGGGGTGGTCTTACACTGTTTAGGTGGCTATACTCTCTACATAGAGTGGGCCATACTATTTCTAAGGGAGCTACAATGTTCACAGAGGAGTAATACTTCATTATTTGTTCACAGGGGTGGTGGGCGGGTTGTGACTATGATTTTTATTGTCCCCTCAGTTTCCAAGAGTGAAGTCTTGAAGGGTTGCAACTTCTGTAGGGACAGGTTTTGTCTATGCCTTAGCTTGACAACAATAGGATAAATGTTATCTGTGTCAGGACGATAAACTGGAACAAAGGTTGCTAGGTCCATGGGAGGATGGGGGTGTCCTCACTGGGCAGACAGAGTTGTTTTCTTCATGGAGCGTTGCACTTTCCATCACAGGCTAGTCCTGGGTCTGTGAGATGTTGGGCTTTTCACCAGCCCAGGGGGAGCCTTTTCATAGTAAACTGGGGTGGGTCCCCTTGTTCATTGGTGTTGACATAGCCCTGGTATGTTTTTAGGAATGACCAGCGATGAATAGTTTTAATCACAAGTTCACAATATCTGTTTCACACATTACTGTTTCACACAGTAATGGCGGGGTTCACCTTCCTTGGGGGTGACTCTTGGTGTTCAAGTGTGAACTATCCAAGAGGGTTCATATTTCTATGGTGAAGTCACATGGACCCCTAAGGGGTTGTAATATCTGTGGACAGGTTTTCAGAAACCACCAGAGGTTATGCTGTCCAGGGGACATTTTCACCAGGGACTCCCATCCTCTGTGGGTGGTTCAGACACTCATGTGAGGCATGCCCATCACCCATAATTGTGTTTCATAGAAGCAGTGGGATTGAGTTATCCAACTGGGTCAGGGTGGGATTATGCCATTAACAGGTGATTTCACACTGTCAATGCGATCTGTTTATTGTCTACAGTTGGAGTCTGTAGGGTGAAGGGTGCTTACATTATCCATGTGGTATATAGTTCACTCTGCAAATAATTACCACCAGTATTTATTGCATGCTTACTTCAAGTCCCAGATTTCTCACAACAACCTGGTTATGTAGTCTCTGTTAATATCCCCATTTTATAGATGAGCAAGCTAAGGCTCAAAGAGGTACACAGGCCCTCTGTCACAGAAGTAGTAAAGTTAGAGTTGCAACCCAGGTCTCTGACTTGCTGGTGGGATGGCAGGGGCCATTAAGGCTATTATCTTTGAAACTTTGCATTCTTTATCCAAAGGTGGGGGACAGGAAAATTGGTAGTAATGCCTAGTGGTTAAGGGTGATGGTTTCCAATAGAATAGATTTGAATTCCAGCTCCAACACTTCATGACTATAGGACTTTGGCAGATTTCCCCTCTGAGTCTCACTTTCTTAATCTGTAAATGGGTATAACAATAGTAATTCCCCTTTTGGGGGAATTAAATGAGATGATGCCCTGGACAGTGCTTGGCCCAGCGCCTGGCACATCATGAGCACTAGGAATTTGGGAGCAGTTATAATAACAATGATGATGATGATTATTGCTGGACCACACTGCTCCCAGAAGGTTACAATATCCATGGAGGAGCTGCACTGTCCGTAGGCAAGGTTACATAATTAATTCCCCAGGGGGCTGATGCTTCCCTGGAGTCCTTGCTCTCCCCAGGGAAGAGGCCTGAGACTTCTTCTGAGGCACCCGTGAGGGGCTGCTGTAATGCAGCTAGGAACCCAGCAACGGAGGCTGGACTTGAAGCCCTAAGAACCCAGAGCTGACCCTGCAGGCCTTTCCTCCCAGTAGCCTGTCTTTCCCTGCCCTTCTTCTGGGTTTCAGCCTCTTTGAGCACCCCTCCCCTCCACACATTCCTCATCCTCTGGTACCTCAGAGTCTTTTTTGAGACTCTGCATTCAGGTTCGGCCTGTGAGTATCGCTTCTATGTGCCCTCTACCCAGTTGATCAGCGCTGATTTCGTTTCCGGAAGCCCCAGGCTCCTTCCATCCCTCCCAGCTTGGGAGCGAAGACTTAACACTGTCCTACGCTCTGGCCTTCACCCTTACGCCCTGCCCTCCTCTCTCTTGGCGACCCCCCAGTGCCCCTTGGGAGCACATTTGTTCCGACTTTGTTCCGACTTTGGTCGCCCCCTCGCATCCTGGCCCCACCCCCGGAACCCCCTGCCCTGGTGATGGAGGTGGAAGTACCTCCGGTGTCGGCCCTGTCCCCTGGACAGCTGCAGCTTGGGGATGGAGGGGGGAGCTCCCGAATGCATTCTCTTTGGTCACTTCCTCCCCAGCTGGGATTGGGGCTATATGGAAGGCCAAGAACCCATCCCCGGAGGAGCGGAGGGCACAGCCGCCTCCCCATTTCCGATGCTGGGAAATGCTTCCCACCCATTCCACCCCACCCCTGGACAGCTGCCCCCATTCAGGCTCAGGGTTTGGGGGGGGGGACAGGGTAAAGCTAGGCTGGGAAATGTGGTCCTGATCATCTTCCAAGGTTTTGACCCCCCACCCCCAGCGGAGAAGATTCTGCCTCCTCCCAAATGGTCCATGCCTCCTCCCGACAAAAGTTGCTGACCCTCCCTTAGAAGGTACCCCCCCCTTCCCTCTTACAGGCTTCCCAAAAGACAATCTGGATCCTGCAGTGGGCAGGAGAGGAGGAGGGGCGGCAGGTCCCGAATGCCGAGGACTTAAGTTATCTGCAGACTTGGAGTCTCCGAGAAGGGTCATGACCCCCGAGACCCCAT